CTATTATTAATGATTTTGTATTTAAAAAAGCTAGAAGATATATTTTTTTCTCTTTAAAGCAAGTGGATTTTTTTAAATGGTGTGGGTGTTTGTATCTTTGAAACTACTATTAATGAAAAAAACTAGAATTTATTTTACATAATTATTTGTAAAATATTTAGCTATATTTGTGCCGTAAAAGGACCATTTTTTCTGTATCATTCCGGACCCAAATATTTTTGGACTAGCCATGCTCCTATGTTTGCCAATTGTCATTCTGCTGAGTTGTAATTTATTCATAATGTTTTTTTATATTAATTGTATAAAATATAAAATTCCAATCTAACATATACAGCTCTGAAAATTTTAATGTGTCCTTTGTGAACGACTTTTCGTGCGTATAAAGACCATCGGGATCATTTATATATGTAAAACAATGGTGAAACGAGCCTTTATAATGGATTTAAATTTAGCTATTATACATGGCTTGGCGAAATCAATACCAAAGAGGTCGAATTTCAATCACCAATATTGTATGCTATAAAAAACTGGGTTTGATAAAACTAAAGATTATTTATTGACGTTTGGTTATTGGTGGGTTATCAAGAAATATAACTTCTATAAATGATGGCTTCCTTTTGATCTTGTGCCAAAATGAATTCCAAGGTGTATCTTAGACTAGGTTGAATGGAGTAAGTAATTTGGTCCAATGGGCAATGGGTATTGATTTGGCTCGTGTTCTAGTTGGGCTAAAAGCAACTCATTGGAAATTTAAATAAGGTTTATTAGAGTTGGGTTCCTATTGTTAAACTCTCATTTAAAGATGACAACAAGATGAATTCTTACAAGGCCCCGTTTCACTTGTTTTGCATTAGAATACATTATGTACAATAAGACAATTCCATATCATCCCCATGTAACGTTAAACCATTTCCTCCTCTCCAAACTCTAAACTCACTTCTCGTGGTTATTGTTGTAAGAGTGCGGCTCTTACTTTATGCTCCAGGATTGGTTGAAATAGAACAATATCACTTTTGTTTTAGAAGACATGCAAATCATGTACAATGTCGGACTTTGAACAAAGCTTTGGTAGAGTAGAGCATGTCATTGGATCTCGTGCGACATGGACCGAACATGATTGGTTTAGCCATATCAATCATGCAAAATTGGCAAGGGATTTTTTCCTAACATTTGTTTCAACATAATGAACCTTGATATTCCGAATGCCATCTACATGTTATCGGTTCATGAACATAACGTATTGATAACGACTCTCATTGAGGTTGTTCGTGAGTACATTCAACAGATTTATATTCAACACAATTACTTAAGAGGTAAACTAGTATATACATAACAAAATATTATGTAGTTGTAAAATGACTAAAATCATAATATTTCTTTTGCAAGGGGTTCTCTAGTGTACTTACCCTACTTGTATGAATTATGTCCAGTGGCAGACAATAACAATGTCGACCTACTTGTATGAAGTAATAGATGTTACGAGTACTCGTGTTGTAAATCTTTAACTTTGAATATGTACTTGTGGGAAATGGCGCATTTGTAATATATCATGTGGTGATGCTATGGTGGTAGTGTGATCTTTAAGGTAATGTGATCTTTAACCTTCACAAACTTTTACCATATGGTTTGGGTTTATTGGAGGTCTGTAGTGTATAGAGTTGAATACCAATAAGAAATTGTGCATCCTCTATCGCCTACATTAAACCGTATATTATATTTAATTTTATTCATGTGTAACTCGCGGGTAGAAGTTATTCAAACGATTGAGATTATGCAGTTATAATAGATGTATATATTATCATATAATTCAAAATAATCAATATATTATATCAATTTAGTATAAAAATTATTATATCAAATTTAACAACAACGTTACTGTTATATTTAAAAAAACATATATTTGTAAAGACTTCAACTATATAAGAGTTTCTGCGCAACGCGCGGGCATTCGCTTAGTATACTTATAAAGGAAACAATTTTCCTTTCACCACATTCATTTGAAACTCCCATGCATTTTTTCTTTCACCACATTCATTTGAAACGCCCATGACTTTTCAATTTCTTTCTAATAATGATTATAAGTTTGTTAATAAGGTTAAATAAATATCAAACCTAAAGTGTAATCATATATAAACTAAATTTCAATATTAAAAGAATATCTTTACTTCTACTTATAAAGTTATGTTTTTTAACTTTTAGCATATTATACTTAATTTATTAATTTTAATATATTGTTGGATGTAAACCATTATCATTTTAAAGCTACAACTTTTGAACAATTTGTATAAAATACTTAAATTATTAATTTAAATATAACATTACAGGGTCAACTTAAATATAAACTTTAGTTTAACTTAAACAACCCAAAGAATATTTTTTAAATAGTTAAAAGTGATAAATTGTAGAGTTTTTCTAATAATGATTATAAGTTGGTTAATAAGGTTAAATAAATATCAAACCTAAAGTGTAATCATAAATAAAATAAATTTTAATATTAAAATAATATATTTACTTCTACTTATAAAGTTATGTCTTTAACTTTTAACATATTATACTTAATTTATTAGATTTAATATGTTGTTATATGTAAACAATTATCAGTTTAAAGCTACAACTTTTGAATAGTTTGGACAAAATACTTAAATTGTTAATTTAAATATAACATTACAGTATCAACGTAAATATAAATTTCAAATCCACTTAAAAAACCCAAATAATATTTTGTGAATAGTTAAAAGTGATAAATTGTAGTGCTAAATGCAAAAACTAAATTGCAATCTCAATTTAACTAAACTATTTCCTAATTATATTTTTATAACCGTTAAAAGTTTTCTAATTATAAGTAACTTAAAATAACTTACAATAACAATAATTAAAAATAACTCTATATAAATGATTATATTGTTACCTTTAAAATCAAAAAACAATGTTTCATGTTTTAAATAATTATAATGATAGAAATTAAAACGTTAAGCAAATAAATTTTAAAAAAGTAATTAACAATAACAACAACTATAAATAACATTAAACCATATATTATATTTAATTTTATTCATGAATAATTCGCGGATAAAAGTTATTCAAACGATTGAGATTATGTAGTTATAATAGATGTGTGTGTGTATGTGTGTGTATATATATATATATATATATATATATATATATATATATATATAGTATAATTAAAAATAATCAATATATTATATCAATTTAGCATACTAATTATTTTAACAATAACGCTATTGTTATATTTAAAAGAAACATATATTTGTAAAGATTTCAACTATATAGGTGTTTCTGCGCAACGCACGAATATTCGTCTAGTATACTTATAAAAGAGGCCTTTTTACTTGCACCACATGCATTTGAAACATCCATGTCTTTTCAATTTCTTTTTAATAATTATTATAAATTGGTTAATAATGTTAAATTAATGCAAAAACTAAATTCTAATCATAAATAACTAAACTACAATATTAAAATATCATATTATACTTCTATTTATAAAATTATGACTTTAACCTTTTTACATATTATAGTTAATTTATTAGTGTAGATATGTTGTCGTATGTGAGCAATTGTCATTTTAAAAGTCACAACTTTCGTATAATTTATGATTTTATACAAAATAGTTAAATTATTAATTTCAATATAATTTTAAACGGATAATTTAAATCAAAATTTCAGTTAAACTTGAAAAAAAATCGAGATACCATTTTATAAATAGTTAAAAGTAATAAATTATAATGTTAAACCTAAATTGAAATCTTAAATTAATAAAGAAAACGATAAAAATATTTTTTATAATCATTAAGAATTTTCAAATAAGTAGTTTAAAAAATAACTTACAATAAGAAGAGTTAAAAGTTATTTTATAAAAAGTTATAATGTTATAATTAAAAACAAAAACAATGTTTGTTGTTTTAAATACTTACAATAAAAAAACTAACAATATTCATCAAATAAACTTTAAAAACGTTAAATTTCTGAAACCAAATTAAAATAATTAAAATTTTCCAAATACATTATTTTAAATAACTTATAACAACAATAATTAAAAGTAACATTATATACGAAAAATATATTGTTACAAAAAACAAAAACAATGTTTGATGTTTTAAATAATTACAATGATAGAAATTAAAATCTTAAGCAAATAAACTTTTTAAAATTAATTAATCATAACAACAACTATAAATATCATTAAACCATATATTATATTTAATTTTATTCATGAGTAACCCGAATGTAAAGGCCATTGAGACAATTGAGATTATAGAATTTTAAAAGATGACATTATCATATAATTCAAAAGAAACAATGTTTATACCAATTTATTATAAAATTTATTATATAAGAGCTAACAACAACATCATTGATATATTTAAAAGACATATATTTGTAAAGATTTAAAATATGTTGTTGTATCTGCGCAACGCGCGGGTATTCGTCTAGTATATATATATATATATATATATATATATATATATATATATATATATATATATATATATATATATATATATATAGGAGTATGATCAAATGAGAACACCTAAAAGGTTGAGAACGCGAGAACAGATCTGGACCATCTAAGTTTTAAGATGTGTGGCTATAATTAATTGTTATTTTTCTAATTATTAATACATTTAAATTTTAAATTTTAAATTAAAAAAAATTGTAAAGGCTATTAAGGTAAATAAGCATTACCCTAATTTTGTAAACTCCTATAATTACTCTATGTCGCTTTATTTTGTTGACCTAATCTCATAGAATTATTCATCTCACCGCCTCATCTCATAGAACATATCAGAGCCGGAGGAGGCCATAGAATCAGCGGAAGAGCACTCCTACAACTCGATTTTGTTCATCGGACCTGATTGCTTCCATTTTAACCAGTCTCAACTTCAATTTCTTTCTGATGTTCATCCACTTTCTTTCTTGGCCCTCCCAACAACACACGAACACACACATAGATACACCCTTCGGTATCGTGGGTTCTGATGACAACAACCAACACATATGTTACGATTCAGTTAATCAATCGATTCTCTGTTTTGTTGGTGAAGAGGAAGGTTCAAAGTATGTTTTGCGTGATGGGGTTAGATGTAATCAAATCGGGATGTGGCAAGGAGAATGTTGATCCAAATTTTATCAAATCTGAACTAGCAGCGATGGATAAAATTATCGATGGTGGTAAGAACGTTGAAATTCAGAATACTTTTCAAATTTATGGAAATAATAATACAATCAATGATTTGGTAGAAGAAAAGGGATTCGTTTTGATACAAGCTACTTCTGATATGGTTAAAGGGTTCAATTCTTCCCAATCCATGGCTGACAGTTCGCAACCTTCGTCGCCTCCTTCTTTGAATGCTGGAATCCATGCTAAGGGTATTTTGGGTAAAATTCCTGGTACGTCCCCTGTTCATGAAACATCTCATGTTACGATTATTATTCCTATGAAGATTGTGAAGCATTCTGGTAGTGGTAATGATGAAGTAATGAATGAGGATTCAAATGATGATGTGAAGATGGGATCAGATACTGGGACTGATTTGAAAATGAAACAGGGAGTTAGTTTTTTGGATCTTAAATGGGATAATGAGCCGATGATTGTTGATAATGATTCCAAATCAAAATCATCCCAGTGGTTACTATTGTCAATGATGTTAGCAAAAAGTCTTATGCTCGAATTGTTGAAGCTTCTAGCTCCGTGGTTGATCTTAACATCAAAGTTATTCCTAAAGTTGATGGGAAACCAAATGGTAAAGCTGAGCTAGAGGAGAATGAAAAATTGTATTGTGTTCTATATTTTATTAGATGTAAGTTATATTATATTTTGATGAATTCATTAATGTTAAAATGTGTATTTATTTATGAATAGCAGTGTATTCATTTGTGAATAGCAATGCATTCATGTGTGAATGAATATATTTATTTATGATTAGAGGTATTCTGTGACATCCCCATTTTCACGGCCAGAAAAGACCGATTTTGTTTATGCTTTATAAAAATCAGAGTACCTTTTTTAATAAAAATGTTGCGGAATTTGTTCCCAGTAAAACATGATAAATACGTTATCAAAGCATTTCCGAAGAAAAGTATTTTTATTCATTTTAAAACATTTGGGATGTCATCGTCAATACAGAAACATAAGCATAAACAGAACTTACATTCATTATCACTAGTGATCCTTAATCTCTTAGTGTAATGTGACTTCATATCAACATTTGTGATATAAATAAACTGAGTGGGTCAGGTTGGGAAACCTGGTGAGTACATAGGGTTTTCAACCCACAATAATATAATTATTATGTTTAATCATCAAACAGTTAACCCAATTACCCATCCCCATTATCTTCTTTACTCTTAAGGATCTACCCTAAGAATTAGCTATTTCTCATTCATTCATTCCTAAGGATTATCCTAAGGAATAGGTACGAAGTCCATCGTTGTCAATGACACAGCTGTCAAGCACAGCTGCTAGTTCTATCACTTAGGCGCAGCTGCCAGAATTGTGACATTCTCTATGAGGCGTAGCTGCCAGTATTGTCCTTCGAGCACAACTGCTAGGGTTATCTCGTTTATTGACAATATCGTTTTCAAGAATCCACTCGCAATACATGTCAATGGGTTTTTAGAGTACACCGGTGAACACATCGTTCACAACACCTATAGGTTGCGAGCCTGCTAGTGTTCCACTGAACTGTCTAGAATAGTCCGTGGTTGTCATCCATACTCTGCTAGATGACGGGGCCAACATTTAGGGACAAGGCTTCTCACATCGTCCAACTCTCACCCTTACCTCATGGTCTATATCACCTCTCAACTCATCATCCAACTCATATTTTATCTACCCATGTTTTACCCAACATATGCACACATAACACGTAGTTTATATAAAATACTTCATATCTATGTGTAAGATGAAAGGGACCATGCACTCACTTGAAAAGGTGGTGATTCCGAACTCAGACAGCGCTTCGCTTCTTAAAAATAATTTCCTTCGACGAAACCTAGTATTATTACCACTAGAGTTTAGTCTATTATTCCCCGAGACTAATTAATAGTCTAGCTATTATTACTATTATATAAGCGTTAAACAATACTTATATAACCCATAATAATAGCCCAATTACTTATTATAAGTTCTTAATAACATTACTATAATTAAATAAAAGCTATATTAAAAATAGCGTAGGCGTAGCTCACTTACAGCGGGTTTTATAGAAAACCGTGCTTTGCTTGGAGCAGCATTCCCGTGCGGAAAAGCTCTTCTTCTCGGAGCCGTCGAGCACTCCGGGGCTTCCGCCTCGTGCTAGGGAGGTTCCCTAGGCTTTTCGGGGGGTTTCGAGGCTAGAAAGAGGTTCTAGAGAGAGAGTAAAAAGAAGAAAGAATGAGAAAGGTGTGAAGAAAATGAGGGTGGGAGAGGTTCTATTTATAGGGTGAAAATGGCTGAACTTGGTGCCACATGTCACCATCTAGTGGCAAGACTTGGGGAGAAAGCAATGGCCAAGATTGTGCCACATCACCCATTTTTGCACAGCACACTTCCGACTTCTAAAATTTGTAACTTTCACATACGACCTCCGTTTTTGACGTTCTTTATATCCACGCGTAGGTAAAAATAAGATCTACAACTTTCATTTTGACTCCGTCAGCTAATTCTTGACCGATCTTAAATTTAACAGTACGAGGAGATTATACTGTTAAATGTCCGCGTAAAATTTATAACTTCTACATACAGACTCTGTTTTCGTCTGTCTTTTTACCGTTGAGTTCCTATTAATGAGATCTTCAATTCTCATTTAGGTCGCATAGGCCAAAAACCGCTCGAACTAAAATTCGAGTTTCGGGCCGTGCACTGCTATGCCAAATCTTAGAAAATTCATAACTTCATCATACGAAGTCAGATTTGGGCGTTTTTTTTTATGTTCTCGGTTTAACGTATACTACAACTTTTGTTTATATCACTAAGGCTAAAAAGTCCTTTATCAAAAATTCACTATTTACGTCTCCCGGTGCCGTGCCGGTTCTGCCGTAAAACTTCGACGGGCCATAACTTCTTCGTTATAACTCGGATTTCGGCGTTCTTTATATGTACGGAACTCTTGAGACATATTCTACAACTAGGTTAAGATTATTTATTCTAAATGTATTATCTCTAAATTGACTAGCCCAGATCTACGGGCGTGACATATTCATTTATTCATTTGTGAATAACAACGAACTCATTTGTTAATAGCAGTGTATTCATTTGTGAATAGCAGTGTAATCATGTGTTAATGAATGTATTTATTTATGGTTAGAGGTATTCTTTTTATGAAGAAATGATAATTTTTACACTCTTTTTATTTTTCAGTCGATTAAAAAAAGGAATTGGATTACTTGTAAATTGATGTGTATTCATTTGTGATTGGAGAAGTATCAGGTTTTTTGAAAAAAAATCATTTGTGAATACAAATGTATTAATTTAGGGTTCGATTTCTATTCATTTTTTTGAAAAAAAAAACCGTGAAATAGAAGGAAAAAATTGATTTTCTTAATTTTTTTTTTCAGTTTTAAGATAAATTTTGGTAAAAATGTTTTTTATATTCCATTAATAAGAAAAATAAAAAATTGAATATTTATTTCTTTTTTGGTAACTGCTCCTAAATTTAAGGGAATTTGATTGAATTTTATTTTATTTTAATTTAATTAAAATATACAATTACTAATATGACCTTATATATTGATTGGTCCAGAATTGTTCTCGCGTTCTCAACCTTTTAGGTGTTGTCTTATATATATATATATATATATATATATATATATATATATATATATATATATATATATATATATATAAACGTTCGGGCAATTTTTTTAGCGCGTGAAAAGGTGTTCTTCCACTCTCACCGCCTATATAGGCCGATGCATGTTCTCGACAAAGCCAAAGATGTGGCTTCTTCTCCGTCTCTGTCATCTGCTCCATATCCACAGTTCATTTCCCCATAAAGCTTTTTGAGACAACTGCATATCAATACCTCCATCACTGCTTCATCACTATCTCTATCATCTCACCACCGCTTTCGTCTATTTCACAAATTAAAGACGGCGATTGAAGAGCTAACGTCTACCATCGCTTCCTATTTTCTCCCTTTTCTCCTCTTCCACCACAGGATCAAGACGTTTCTTTCACCTACCTTAACGTCGATTTCCCTCCACCGCATTCCTTCCTTCAACATTGAAGACTATGATGGGAGAGACACATGTGTTGATTGTATCGGTGATGAGCCAATTCTAACCTTGGGTATTTTTTTGCCTTAAAACGACCTCCTCATCGTTTCTTTCTTTTACTTTGTCTGTTCAGGTTCACTATCAAAGAGGAGACCGAGCAGAGCATGACGGCATCCCTCTCCATCTCTTTTGTCTCTCAGGTAACTATCCATCAGCCTTTGTTTTGGTTTCTCATTTGTTTTTTCTTTGATTATAATAGATCGAAATCAGATGAAGATAGTTTGGTGTTCTTGTCCATGGCGATCTGATTAGCGTGAAGCCTTGCTGACATCAACTATTTCATGCTTCAAACTAACAACACTATCTTTTCTGTTTCTCTCCCTTTATACATCAACAGTGGACGTTCGGTAATCAATCGAATCAATTGTTGGCGGCTGTAATTGCTTTAGGTGAACACAAACATCTCAAATTCTTTTTTAGGGTTAAAAAAATTTTGTGCCATGGCGGAATTTTGTTGAATGTTGCTTGTTAATAACTGAATTACTCGATGTTTGAACAGATAATGATGCTCAAAACCACCTTCTTTTATGCTACAAGAATACACTCGGGATTTCTTCACCATCGCTCCATCAAAGGCCCGATTTCCTAAAATATTTTTTATTAAGGCTTAATTGCAACTCATGATTTTATGTATTTTTTATGATATTTAGTAATATCTCTCTCTCTCTCTCTCTCTCTCTCTCTCTCTCTCTCTCTCTCTTATGGTTTTCCATACCGATTGTTTGATTTTTGAATTCTAATTGCTTTTGTCATTTTAAAATTTAATCTTGAAACGTAAATTTCTTGAAACTTAATTTTTAACAGTAGGATCAAAGCTTACGGGTTCTTCAAAAAAAAGTAGTTCATCAGAGTCTGATGAAGAACAAAAGAAGGTATAATCTTTTATTATGTGTACATTTTTGCATATGGATTGCTTTGCTCAAAATATGGTATCTTCATCAACATTTAAAGAAAGCAGTCAATTATCCATATGATGGTTAACTTTCTTATGGCAGACAGAGTCAAGATGATGGAAAATGTCAACATGATCTTTATGAACAACCTAATTGTCAAGTGTCAAGTATGATCAAATCCATAATATTTTTTTATTCAATAATGGTATGTTAGCCTCCCTTACACATTCACTTTTATATACTTTTTGTGGTGTTTGTAGATCGTGGAGTTGGTGCCCTCGACGTCCGTTTGAAGTTCCAGAAAAAGAGTAACAAACAAGCAATTGTTGGTGCAAATGGATCCTTGTCAGGAGTGCAAATCAGAACTAAGGTATCTAATATAACTATCTGGTGGATTAGTGAACTCAATTTTGTTTCTAATAGTATCTCCAAGAGACCAAACCTCATCCCCCTCTGAATAACATTTAGTGTTTTTTTGCAGGTATATAAGAAAGCCATGTCATTTGGAGAAGTGGTCAGATCAGGTAAATTCTTTTATACTTGATGAGTTAGACAAGATGCTGAAGTCCCTTGTATGCTTTCATATCCGTACATGGACTTGTACTCTATTTCACTGTAATTTATGCACAAATATTGTTTTATTTTATAGTCCGACTTATAATAAGAGTCACAATCTTTTATCATACATAATTATTAACCATTTTTGGAGCAAGATTCTTGTGCAAAGACCTTTTCTTCTCTACAAACCCATTTATAGCTGGTATCAAACTTTAAATAAACGCTACAAGAAGATAAAATCTGAATTGGTATGGCATTTTCAAGTAAAAAGATATTTACTCAAACTAAAAACACACCAACATCCAATCAGGGTATGTAATTGCCAAGCAAAAATATTATTAGTTTAAACTAAATACATAAAGAACATCTATTTCGGTTAACAACAATGAAATAAATTACAGCAAGAATCAGGAACGAGTTCAATGTTTTTGATCAGATCTAAAAGAATTTATAATTTATTGATATCTTCTTAGGAAGGCATCTGTGAGTTCTGTTGCTGGAACAACCGCATGTTTCCCGCACCGAAACGTGTACGTCTCTCCTTGCTGCTATATTGTACTATACTCACCTCCTGCATTGTTGTTTCTCATTTGATTAAAGGTTTGCTCACATTAAATTATTGAACCTTACATATTTTACATAATTTTAGTCTGCTTGATTTTGGAAGTAGGACAAATATATTTGTCTATTTTCATTGTTTTACACATGGGTTTTCCTGTTGGAATCTTTCAGGATTGCGGTTTTACGGAGAGTTGGTTGGACCACGGAGGCCATAGATAGCATTGTTCAAATCTTTAATTATTCTGCTCAAGATTGAAAAACATAAGCTCTCCGTTGGGAGCAACCGATCCAACCCTTCACGATCCATTTCGCCAGGTTTCTTCTTGATTTATTTTAGTCAAATAACTAAAAATTAAGTTGGTAGAGAGTGTTGAGCTCATATTCATTTGATTTAAAGACCCATATAAGCCAACTATTGTTATTCCAAATCTTAAAGTCAGAATCATATTTAACTATATACGAAGCAAAACTGCTTGTACATAGAAACATGATTAATGCAAATGGTTGACATGCTTGATTAATTCATGTAATTTTGGCTATGCTGGCACTTATATCAAATTTCTTTTTGAGTATATTTAAACTTGCACCTACGATCACCAATCACCATATTGTTTGTACGGGATCAAAAATCAACGGTGAAGACGCCACAATTAATCACTTATAGCCCATTAATGACCTACGAAAATATGATAAGGACCAGAATTACCCTAACATATATGATTCATCTACACTTAAAGATCATTTTTTATTGTGAATGTGAGTACAGGTGTAGATTTATTGACAATTCTGGAAGAGATAATGCTAAAAAATCTTACAGTATGACACTATCTATGGCTGCCTCAGACTCCTCTGTTGCAAATTTAGATTCCTGTTTATTGCAAGTAATGTAGACAAAGTCATGTTTGTGGATTTTGATGGAATGTAGTGGGATTGGAATTGAGATTACATTCCATAGAACATGTATTTTGTAAATATACTGTGGAAAAGAAAGTAGGCCATTAGTCTTTATTCTTTTACCAATATAGACAATGCATTCTACTTTATTTCACTTCATTTCTTTGATTTCCTTACCAATGATGGCAACATATTTGCTTCTTTACCAATAATAACATCGTACTTTGAATTGCTTACCCATAATGGCAACATTTTCGCATTTCCTCGAAGATTCGGACAAAAGCATTTCCCAAATAAACCTTCGTGGGGCATGATTAGCATGGCCCTTACACAACCCTAGTATATATAGTATATATATATATATATATAGATATATATATATATATATATGGAAATTTTGAAAGGAATAATTGTTATTTTTTTTTGTTGCCAAACAACCACCTACTCTAAAATTGGGCGTTCGAGAGTATATAAAAACGGGTCAAACCCATTAGTAAAGTATGATCCTTTATATATATATATATATATATATATATATATATATATATATATATATATATATATATATATATATATATATTATATATATATAAAGGATCATACTTTACTAATGGGTTTGACCCGTTTTTATATACTCTCGAACGCCCAATTTTAGAGTAGGTGGTTGTTTGGCAACAAAAAAAAATAACAATTATTCCTTTCAAAATTTCCATAAATATTTGTTAAATTTAGTTAGTTTCCCTATTTTTTTAGTTTTATAGTTAAAAGTCTATGACTAAACTAAAAATATAAAATTTACAAAAACAAACGGTCTTGATGTTGAATCATCAAGAAGCTTACCAAAAAGCCCAATAAAAAAAGAGTATCTATATTAGTTGATTTATGTTAAATCTGAGGGTTAATAACCTAGGAGTAAGGTTTCCATGCTGTACACATTATGTCCCAAAGGTTTTTTTTGCATATTACATACACCAGTAGGGTTGTTATAAACGTTTACATATGTCCCTTTTACCAATTTCTCCCAATTTTACCGGTTACAAACTTAATTAGGGCATTACGTGGATATTAAGTTCATTACATGGATATTACATGGCATTTTAGTGGCATTTTAGGCGTGTTATTTTTTGCGAAATAATCTCTCGTCTAAGATCCCGTTTTCCATGTATTCATAAACTAAGCTACCATGATCCACACACGCATCGATAAGAATCAGCAAATGAGTATGTTGTATTCTGCTCAACACTTCAAGCTACAGTGTCATTGATTAGGTTCCAGTTTCAGATTCAGTATGGGCTTCTACAAATCTTTATTAGTTAAGTTGCATGGATTCATATTCCATATCTCCTGCTGAAATTGTTTGGTTCTGAGAGCTTCCTGAGAATGAAGAACTTTCACAGCAACAACTGTATGATGAAAGCTCGATTTATACACAATTCCGTTCCCTCCTGTTCCTATCTTAAGATCTTTAGAAAATGAAGAACAAGCATCCACAATTTCTTTCCACGTAAACTTCTGGTATTGTAGAGAACTCCCGGTTATGGCATCTAGAAGCTTTTCTTTCTCTCGATGTTCCCGTAAAGCCTTCCCTTCTGCATCTTTCCTCACTGCGGCTTCTCTTCTTAGACATTCTTTTACATACTCCACTTGTCTTTTAGTTGTTTCGTGCTCTTGCTTCTCTTGTTCAACTAACGCTTTTGCTTCCTCTTCTTTAGCTTTCAACTCCTTGAGCTTAATCGATTCCTCTACCTGTCGTTCTTTAGGATCTTTCAGCTGATAGAAAATAGTCAGACGGGTATCAAAATTGATGAGATTTTTTTTTAAAAAATTAAGATTTGAAGGGGGAAACGGAGATTACCTTTCGGGGAAGCATCAAATGACTCATTTTGTGCAATTGCATACATCCCGCGAACGTGTCGGAGTTCAACTCGAAGTTTTTCCAGCTCAAAATCGACATTATTACCCCGCATGTTGAGTGTTTTGACAAAATTAAAGCTTACTAGAACCCTAACTCAAGGTTTGGATGCAATTGATAAAGAGGAAAACTGGATTTCTGTTGAAAATTGGAAGAAATCGGTAAAAGGGACGATATGTAAACGTTTATAACAACCTAGGTGTAATATGCACAAAAAAAACCTTAGGGACCTAATGTGGAGAACATGGAAACCTTATTACCTCCTAGGTCAATAACCATAAATATTAACTACGGTTTTGTGAATTAATTCTACAGCTATAAAGTATAATCACAAGTTTTTGCATAAATAATTAAATATTAACAATATAAAATGGCGTGAACATATATTTTAGCGAAGAATGCCCCTTGTTTAGTCTTTACGACCTGACCTATATAAGGACTAATTACTAATTAGTGGGTGGGCTAAGCTCAATAACTATTTTGCTTAGGCCCCGTTTGATACGTATCTTTTCAGGTCCAAACAGATCTTTCTGGCTGAATGGACCGGAAAGACTGTTTGATTTGCACAAAAAAATGGTCTTTCCCGGTAAGATATGTCTTTCCCAGAAAACTCCAAAATCATATCTTTCTGGCTGAATGGGCTGGAAAGACAATTATGCACCAAACCCGACCTCTTTCTTTCTTTCTTGGATTATTAATTTTTTTTAAATAACTTTTTTTTAAATTTATGTTTTATTGAATTATTATTTTTTTTTTCATCATTCAGCACAATCAATCAGATGTATAATCAAACAGCATGACTTCTTTCCCAGTCAGAAAACTTTCCCAGACAGCACTTTCCCAGACAGAAACTATCAAACGGGACCTTAGAGTGTTTTTTTGGGTTCTATTGCAAAAAACCGATTGAGAGTTTCTAATATTTAGTTTTTAAGAAAAAGTTTGGAAAAAAATTGTTCGGCGCTAGGAGCTAATAACTTTTATGCCTATTTCTTGAGTTTTAGCAAAGAAAAAAAAAAGGGGGGGGGGGGGAGTAAGAAGAGAAAAGAAAATAAATTTGGATTTTGTGTTCCCGAGTTTGTGAAAAGTGAAATTATTTAAGGAGAGAAAGACATTCCAGACTAATTTTGTATCGATTAAAGTACATTATGGATTTGGATTTTAGATTCATACAATTTTACATTAATTGCAATCCGGGACAACCATTCATCACCACTTATTAAAAATTTATGGTTATGCACTTTCATTCAAGTGACTCAAGTTTAGAAACAAACCCTCCATGAACAGGGGCAGACCTATAGAGTGTCCCGAAGGGTCCCCGACAACTACTCAAACTTTTCATATTAAAATATAAAAATTAATTTTTTATTAGTGTTCGCCTACAAAAAAAAGATCATATTATTACTACAGTTCAACTAATTAATCAAAAGTAGGTGGTTGAGTTGGTCTCACACGCCTTATTAAGGTTCTGGTCGGAAAGGGAGTGGGTTCAAATCATACACTCAATATATATATATATATATATATATATATATATATATATATTATATATATATATATATATATATATATATATATATATATATATATATACTAGAAAGGTTACCCCCGCTATGCGGGGGCCAGAAACTTTCAATGTTGTTTCCGAATTGATAAATATGACAGACATAGAAAGTGCAAGGATGAAAAGTCCGGGCTTTGCCCCGGACAAAAAATGTAAAAAGTTTTGACTGCAAGGACCAGAAGTGTGAAAATGGCTAAAGAATTAAAGGGGTAGGAATTAGCAACTTTTTAGAAAAGGGATCAAAGTTGTCAAACCGTTAAAGTTTTGTGGCCAAACTTTAAATATTAAAAGGTTCCAAAAAATTGTAAAAATATTGATTGCAAGGACCAAAAGTGTCAAAATGGGTAAAGAATAATGAGCAAAGTTGCCAAAAAACATCCAAATTTAGTATTCCTAACTTCCAACAATAATACATGGACCAATTCTGCCAAAAAAATGGGAAGTTGAATGGAACACAAACAAAAGGACATGAATAAATTAATTAAAGTACAGGGACCGGATATGTAAATCAAGGGACCAAACTTGGACAAAGTATGCCAACTTCACTATTCCTTTCTTCCACAACTTTAATATATATATATATATATATATATATATATATTATTCTTTAAATGTACCATTGTGCCATTAAATAAGGGCCCAAAAAGATTACGGTGAACATGGCCGAAAAAGATTATGGTAAACAGAGCCAGAAAGATTAGGGATCCAAAAATATCTGGTTTTGTGGTTTTATGCTTGTACCAAGTCTTTTATGCTCATGATCTTCTTGCAAACATCGTATGCTGTTAATGGTTTAGTTGTCAAGCCAACCCTAAACAAGGGCTTAAATCATTATACTTTTGTTGTATACCGAAATGTTGTTGCAAGTCTCTTCTTTCAGTCCTTTTTTCTTCTTTCGTTGTAAGGTATGTGGTTTTACATGTAATCATGTATATGAATCCACAATTTTTCTTTCTTGTTGTCATTGGTTTGCAGGTGCAAATAGGAAAGTTAGGCCATAAATGACAATTTTCATCTCCCTGAAGATCATGTTATTGAGATTACTAGAGTATGTATTCTATATTCTTCTTGTTCCTTAGACAAATTGTACTATGTTGGAATAAAATTTACAAGAGCAGCTTTTGCTATACTGGAAAAAAAATTACAAGGGAGATTTTTGCTATATCTATGTGCATCCTTCCTCATGAAAATTGTTACATGATTATATCAACTTTAATAGACTTTAATCAGTAAATATTTCTGAGCCCTTTTTGTATCATGTTTGGACTATAAAAAGAACAAACCTAATTAATAGAGCATTTAACAAGTTCAAACCCATCTCTAATTAATGTAAGTTCTAGAACTACTAGTTTGTTATTTTTAATACACTTGTGCTTTTAAATTGTTTTAGGTTATTATATTTGATCGGAAAAAATTGGTGACACTACTACAGTAAATTTTTGCGTCCAACCTTGTCCGTAGATGCAAGTGTTCAAGCTAATTTTTAGTTTCTTGGAATGAGAAAAGCTAGGGTAGGCCGTAGGCGTTATTATGGTTGCCCCTATTTTCCACATAAAGATGCAGATTGTGAGGATTTAAGTGTTATGATTAATAATTATTTATTTTATGTAAATGGTACTGAAATGCAAAGGC